TTGAGAGTTTGGTGTACTCCCCCTGAAGTTGGCTCCTGTCAGAATAATACATATTAGTCTCATCAAAGTGAACATCACGGGATATATAGAGGCGCTTTGTGGTGGGCTCGTAACACTTGTATCCCTTTTTAGCTAAAGAATAGCCAACGAACACGCACTTCCGAGCACGTGGATCGAGTTTACCATTGTTGGCGAAATGACAACAATCACATGAACTAGAATCATGAGATAAACATCTATCAAGAGTGTGTAAAATATGATCAGACGGATGACCCATGCGTCTATGCCATAGTTCCGACATCTTCTTAGCATTCTGGATTGCACTCAATGCCTTGGGGTATTGATCTATGACATAGAGTCCATTCTACAACCTCCCTTCACCAATCGTCCTCTTGGTGATGCAATCCTGAAGTAACACCTTAGAAGCAGAAAAAATGACATTGCAGTTCCATTCTTTCGTACACTTACTAACAGATAATAAATTTGAAGATAAATCAGGTACGATCAAAGCAATAGAACTCTTAGACAACATCTTAAATTTTCCCCGCTCCTTGTGTCGGGACCTGTGCTCCATTAGCAACAGTAATAGGAGGATAATCATTGGAGACAACTTTAACCATTATTTGATCTGAATTACACATATGGTCAGTGGCACCCGAGTCTATAACAAACTGATTTTTGAACTGAGTCAAGAACACCTTACCAGAAGTTTGAACCATGTGGCTTGATTCAGCAGATGAGCCAGTTGATCCAATTGCCTTAATGTTGGACCCTTGGCCCTGCAAAAGTTGTTGAAATTGATTCGCAAGACTTTCAAGTTTGGCCTTGAATTCAGTCGGGTTAATTGGATCATTTTGGGCAGCCAATTTTGCTTATGGCCTCTTCTCTCTAACAACCCGCAAGTGAGGATGAAGAACCCAGCATCGGTCCTTGGTGTGACCATCACGATCACAGCGTTCGCAGTGGAAACGACCGGTTTTCTTCGTCTTTCCCTTGACAAATCTAGTGACAGCCTCCGCCAATTTGTTGGTTACAACATTGTGGGCCGAAATCTCAGCAGTTGCTTTTATGTTGCCCAGTCTTGGATTCATGACTCGACACCTTGTTTCCTCTCCCTGGATCGTGGCACGGACTTCGGTGAGGGACGGCAAGATTGGGCTCATGAGGATATGTCGTCTAAGATTATCGTATTCGGCCGAAGGCTAGCCGAAGTTGAAAGATCCGATCTTCCTCCTCTCTGCGCGAACATAATCGCATGATTGAGTGGCGGGCGATCTGTCGGAGCTCGTCCCACCTCCTCTTGAAATTTCCGAGGTGTAAGGTAAATGATTGATTCTCTTCTTGCCTTGAACTTGCCAATTCTTGATGGATTTCAAAAATCCGAGAGGCATTTCTGAGTTGACCATACATTCCAACCAACGCATCCCATAGTGCTTGAGCTGAATTGGAGTATGCAAAAATCTCGTAGATTTAGGGCTCCATGGAGTTGAAGATCCAGGACATGACAGAGTTGTCACTGGCCAGCCACTCTTCATATCCGGGATCATCTTCTGGAGGAGCTTTGATTTTACCATTGATGTGGCCGAGTTTCGAACGGCCTCCAAGAGCTACGGTTCTGACTCGTGACCAAGGAAGAAAATTTCTTTCGTTCGAAGCATGTTCGTGAGACATTGGTTGTGAGATTCTTGCAGAAGACCTTTGGTAGAAGGAGTTGCAGTCGGCAATTTCTTGCCGGCATCCTGTTCTCCCATGGTGACAACACAGCAACAAGGTAACTAGAAAAAATCGTCGAAACAAACAATAACAGGTTAGGCTTGAACTTGCTTTGATACCATGATAAATTTAGAGACAAAGAACGCAAACACAATTTAACGAGGTTCGGCTAAGTAAGCCTACGTCCTCGGGAATCCTCTCTCAAAGTTTCTTTTGTTATAAATTCTTTGAGAGAGGGACTACCTTTTTATTGATAGAGGTACATAATTGTTTCCAGAATTACAGGGAATGTACAGAGTAACAATTGAACAAGGAAAGAACACCAAATCAGGAGAATATCCTATAATTTTCTCCTACCAAAATAGGAGGATCCTGTCGATTTGGTCAACACCTACTTTCCGGATCGATCCATCTCAATCAATCCAAAGGGAACGGCGACCGTAGGTTGTCTAGCGTGAAAGATATGAATCCCCAACAGGGCGACGACGGCAAGTTGCCGGCAGACACGAATGGCATGCACTCGAAGTGTTGCTCCGAGTAATGGTCGAAGATGCGCGACAGTGGTGACCGGTCGGATGACTCGTAGATGGAACGAATGGTGTATGTGACGTGCATGAGAGCGTGAGGCAGTAACGGGTCATCGCGCATCGACCGCAGAGAAGCAGAAACATAAGCTTGATAGTTGGACATCTTCTTGACTTTGTGATCGGAGTTTGTGAATTCACGGCCAAAATATGCATGTAGAAAACATAGTATACAAATACATAGAGTCCTTTTATAGACACTTGAGTATGATAAAGATAAAATCCGCCACCAAAATCCGGGCATTGTCATCTATTCCTAGTAGGCAAAGACTTCCTAGCGTCGGTCAGATAATGTTATTTCGAATCGTGTTTTCGAATTATTAAAATAAAGAGAAGGAGAGCTACCCCAATACAAGGATAACTTGTTCTTTTAATTTCATAAAAGATAAAATGTGATTACTCATAGCAACTGCCTCTGATGTCGTATATGTTCTTATATTCGCACTGTTAGAGAATGTGAATATTTATGTATATCTGACTATACTAACTCTTGAAGTATGAATTGATCTATGTATTTATCGACGTATTTATCTATGTATTTGTCTAATTATGCAATATCTTTAAGTTATTTCAAGCAATATAGGCTATTTTTCTTTTTGGGATATTCCAGTGATATGGACATAGATACTAGGGGTGAGAAAAAGGAACTTCTGGACCGGACCAAATTAGCCGTTTCTAGGCGGTTTCGAGGGCATTAGCCTGGTTCCTGATTCCATAAAATTGCAATCGATGAATTTTGGTCCGGTTTTGAGTTCTAAGCGTAGAACCGTTCAACCGGACCACACGGATCGGATCGATTTTTAAAAAAAAAAATTATTTCTTAAAAATCTGAAAAAAAAATCCTAATCTCCCATTTCAGTAGTTAGTCAATCACACACGCCGACATACACGACTCTAGTCTCACGCTCGCTCTTTCACCATTTCACGCCTCTTTCACAAACCCTAATAGCTCTTTCCCATTCTTCACGCCTCTTATGCTCACTCAGGCTCATGCCTCTCTCGCTCAACTCTCAAATGTCACCCTCTCACCTGAGTCCTCTTGCCTAAGTCACATACCTCTCGCGATCTCACTTTGTGGCAAACGTGTGGCAAATTCTTTTTCAGATACAAATTGTCTTTGGCTAGCAAGTTTGGCTCCTAGTTCATGTTGTTTTACCAGCCAGATCCCCTCGTAATAATGCGTTCTACGCGTGTTTTCTACCTGGCCTTTCTTGGTGTGTGGATCCTTCCAAGATACACATGTTCTTTTTTCTTTAAAAAAAAATTGCACAATCGCCAGTTCCTTTGGCCCACCTGAGAACCAGCCTCGACTGGTCAATCCTATTCCAAGACCAAGTGGGCCGGTTCCCAGTTCCAAAAACTGAAAACCAGCCCCTCTAGTATAGTTCCCGGTTCCATATTAGGAACTGACCCACTCTAAAATCAATCACCTCGAATAAAAACCAACCACTTGGATATAAAAAGTATAGATTATTGCTAAATTTTTCCCCTCAAAGGGTAATCCTCTGGTATATTATCTATTAAGAACCGATTAGAGTTGTACCACAAATCTACATGCACCTCTACTTGAGGAACTTCTCATAATCAAAATGCTTTATTTGAATTCGACTTATATAATCACAGTTAGACTAGATTATTTAATTAAAAATCCATCATCAAAATTTAGAGGATACTTAAAGATGGATTAGACATGAACAAAGCCATACATGTGCTCTTTTCTTTTCTCATTTGAAAAAACAAAATTAGCTCGAGACTTTACATTAATAGACTTAATTTAAACTATACTAGATTTTGTTCGTGTGTGCAGATTATACATATATCCACATGAGTCGTCTAACATAATGAAAAGATATCGTCTTTATTAAGTAAGTAACAAAATACTTTAATAGATTATGTGAGCAATAAGAATTCAAAAAGATAGAATGAGAAAATAATTTGCTTTCAAATTACTCCTTTTGTCATTCCAAAAAGTCAAAAACCACCGAAAATCCTAAATTATGCCCATATAATAAATTTATCCTATTTTTTTTCAATGACACAAAAAATCCGAAATTTATATTTGTGTGACACAGTTACCTTTCATCAAAATTCTATTAGTGAGAACCGTTAAAAATCTGTTTATATGAACACCAGAAAGCAAACAGCGTTGACATGGTGTCCACATGGCTTAAGCGAAATAAAAACGACGTTGTTTTGACTTAAAATCATCTAACAGAACCTTAATAGAAGGTAAATGTGTCAAATAATTACAAGTTTGAGATTTTTTTGTCATAAGAAAAAATTTAGGATAAATATTTCACAATGGACATAGTTTGAGGTTTTTTATGTCACAAAAAAAAAGGTTCAGAATAAATGTGTCACGGTGGATATAATTTAGGATTTTTGTGACTTTTTTCCTGACCAAGGATGAAATTTTCCACAATAGCCTAGCAAAATTTCTTTCTGTCATAATTTTTGTCACTAGTCGACCCCCCATTTAGTCAACGGATAAGATCATTCAAGCATTACAAAGCCCCACAGAATCTTTGAGCGTGGGAAACAGACCCGGTCCAACCATGGGTAAGATCCCGGTCCAACCTCGACCGGTTCGACCGGTGGACAAAACGCGTTGGGCAGAACAAGTAGAAGCGTTCAAATTTTCTTGTTTGCATCTAGGAACACAGGAGGACAGTAATCTCCGTGGAATCCCACTCCCAACCGTCCGATGGCGCCCCAGAAATGGATATCCCGCAATCGGACGGACACCGTTCGGTACGGAACGAGAAACTATCGTGCGCCGACTTCGGTACGAGAGAAGGAAACAACGAGTGCCCCTTGGAAAGATCACGCAAACCCGTGGGTGGTGGCGGCCTCTGCAAAAGGAAAAAGCTCCAGAATTTCGCTTCTCTGTTCTCTCTTTCTGGCTCTCTCTCTCTCTCTCTCCCCTTCATCAATCCCGACCTCCGCCGCTCCTTTCGTTCCTTCTTTGTCAGCCGCCGCCGCCGCCGCCGCCCCGCAGCAGCAGCAGCACATGCTCCGAGCCGATCAATCGACGACGGGGATTCGGAGCTCCACGTTTTCCGCCGCCGGGGACACACAGCTACACTAGTCCGCGAGCGTTTACTAGGTAACGTGAGACCGGAACTTCTCGCGTCCGTTCCTCCTGTTGATTCTGTGATGATTGTAGAGGTTCCTTATGCACGCTAGTCAAACGGGTGATGATGCTTCTTTCAAGCCGGTACGTGGCGATGATTAGTTCTAGTTAAGGGTGTGAAGGATAGAACTTGAGCTTTTGAGTGACGGTGTTTATGGGGCGATTGGCTCTAGGACGATGTTCCAGGTCAAGATTCCGGAAACCGTTTTTGGGTTTCCTTAGGACGCCGGACTTGTTCCCGAACCGCCGGTGGGTTCCAGGCCGACCGGCGATGTGGCCATTATTTTTGGCAAAACATGCTTTGCGGCCAATCCGTGGCGTGGCGATTTGGATATCGATGGATTTCCTAACGGGAGATTCACGGTATAATATCGGGAGCCATATTCTTTAATTTAGGGACCTGCCCAATTCCCCGTATGAGCTGGTTGCACGGTCCAAACGAATCGGTCCGGTCGCTCGTGCCGTCACTATTGTGTCGTTTGTATTCTCTCGATCGTAAAATTCTTTTTTTTCGATAATTCTAGATATCTTGATAGTGACATACAAATTCTATAATATGGAGCGCCGTGAGAAAACGGGCCCATCAAACAGTCCACTTCCGAAATAGGTGATGTGATATATATAAACAAAATATGGATTTTTTTTTTTATTATTATCTACGTGATGTGCTGTCATAGTAGGTCGGTCGTGCGAATCCAAAATAGTTATAGACTTTCCTTTATCGGTCCGATTTTCCTCCACATCTGAAATTCTCTTCCACGCTATAAAAATTTTACCCACGACCTTACCGATAATCATCTCATCGTATAATATTTTTCTGGTGGTTTCCCACCACCGAAATTCTCGAGGAAATCATACCCATACCCTCGATTTCAATCGCCTCAACAGCCCCTGCTTCTTCTTCTTCTTCTTCTTCTTCCTCCTCACAGTTACGTGCGCAATCCTTGCGCATCAAGATTCAGAGCTTCCTCTTTTTCCTTTGAATCAGGCGGAAGTAGAAGCGGGAGGAGGAGTAGGAAGAGGAAGATGGGTTCGGAGCGCAACGAGAGCGTCCCCGTCGCCGAGGCGCGGCTCTGCGCCAACAACTGCGGCTTCTGGGGCAACGCGGCCACCATGGGCCTCTGCTCCAAGTGCTACCAGGACCTCTGCCTCCGGGAGCAGCGGGCCGCCGCCGCCGCCAAGGCCGCCGTGGGGAAGTCCCTCGGCCTAGAGACCGCCCCGGCCCCGCAGGATGGCAGGGGCAAGGAGGAAGGTGACCCTTTCGCGAGGGCGGTGGCCGGTCCGGTGCAGGCCGCGCTCGGCGTCGGGGCATCGAGCTTGGAGTCGGCGTCCGCGGGCGGCGAACGGAAGCCGAAGGCCGCGAACAGGTACTGTATACTGGCGGACCCCGTTGAAGGTCCAAATATTTTCATTAGCATCGATTACTCTGTTTTTTTTTTTTTCAAAGAGATTCGTGTCCTTAAAAGATGTTTGATCCCTGGATCTAAACATTCTCGGTCCGTGGCTGCTGCCACCAGGTGCGGGACGTGCAACAGGAAGGTTGGCCTCACGGGCTTCCAGTGCAAGTGCGGGTTCACGTTCTGCGGGGCGCACCGGTACCCGGAGAGCCACGAATGCGAGTTCGACTACAAGAGGTCGGGCCGGGACGCGATCGCCAAGGCCAATCCGTTGATCAAGGCGGACAAGGTGGACAGGATCTGAATGGAGATGGATGGTCAGCTAATTCGTGGAGATTAAGGGGGCAAGTAATAGTTCTGGGTTTAGAAGAGTAGTGGATTTGAATTTTTATCTTTTGGTTCTCGTCTTTGTCCCGATTGGAGCAATTGCTCCTGGAATGTCTCTGCCTTCATTTTCATGCTCTGGAACGATGTTCCCTTGTTTCCTTTTCTCCAATCCAACTTGGCCCGGCAAGACCCATTAATGCCAATGTCGAAATGAAAATAGATATTTAGAAAAAAGAATGGTTCGTGTACGACTGTTTTAATTCGTTTAAGAATGTAACTCGTGTAACTTATAATGGGTCATGCAAAGATAGAGATCCTTTGGCGAGTGGAGAGAAGTATTTCCGGCAAACGTTGCCGGCAGGCGATTTCCCATACACAAAGGACCGTGTTACCTAGGGTTTCCAAAGATCTCATGGTCCCAAGATTTCCCATATACAAAGGACCGTGTTGCCTAGGGTTTTCGGAGTTCTCCAGGATATTCCCAAATGTACCAAGTTCTTATCATAATTGTCGATAGTTGGTGGAGATATCTCCACTATAAGATTGAAAGACCATCAACAGGGACTGTTGTATAAATAAAGGTGTCATTCCTCTCATTTCTGTGATTCACTACTTTGAGCAATATAATCTATTTTTTCTCGAGGCTTATCTCTCTAAAAACTTTCTCTACCATATAAGTGAGCGAGCACGATTGAAAACAGTCGGTTCCGATCCCAAACAATGGACCCGTGACAATTTCATGGGCAATTATCGAGTAGCTAAGTGCTAAATGCCTTAAGCCGAATATTTGGCCACACCCCATAGGGTAACGCCAAGGGTAGCCGTACTAGTGGTGGATGTTTGGGCTCTTGCTTTGAAGAAGTGAGTCAAGCCCGTGGGCTAATACACAGTGCTTTAACTTCATAAACACTTCCCTTGGCAATTTCCAGGCCTATTCGTGAATGCCTTCTGAGATTTGTGGCCCTCCCGCAGAAAAATTTACTATCTCCCAGTTAGTGCAAGACATTACCAACGCACCCAGAAAAGAGACTCCCAACTTAGGGTGGAGAATATAATGTAAAAAAGTAACTATGACAATGTTTTGATTTTTTTTTCCCTTTCTCTATTACGAGTTGCCCCATCTTTAGGTGAACAAATTCCGAGCTTAAGATTTGCCTCATCAAGGATTATACTTTGACCATAAGCCGCACTGATGTAAGGATTATGTTTGCCGCCCACGTGTCGAGATTCGGATGAGTGATTTTGGGGGCAAGTAATAGTGTTTTGAGTTTAGAGCAGTGGATTTGAATTTTTATTGGTCTTGTCATTGTCCCGATTGGAGCAATTGCTCCTGGAATGTTTCTGCCTTCATTTTCTTGCTTCTGGAACGATGTTTCTTTGTTTTCTTTTCTCCAATCCAACTTGGCCCGGCAAGAGCCATCTATGCTTCTCTCTGAATTGACTTAGAATGAATGAACTCTGTGAAACAAATCGCAACGAAAATAGATATCTAGAAACAAAAACTGTTCATGTACGACTGTTTTAATTCGTCTTTACGAATGTAACTTATGCTACGTCAAGCAAAGATAAAGATCATCTGGCGCGTCGAGGGAAGTATTTGCGGCAAACGTTGCCGGCCGGCGGAAAGAAAGAAATGCGAAAGGACTATAAAATCTTGCTTTTTGATCAAAACAAGTGATTATTAGTTTGGGTGACCACACAGCTTAGCCGAAAAAAGTTTTTTCTTTTTTTCATTGGACCTAGCCCAAAGAATATTTAGTTTATTTCGGAACAAGTATGTGTTTGTCACGGTCCCGAGATTTCCCATACACAAAGGACCGTGTTGCCTAGGGTTTCCGGAGTTCTCCAGAATATTCCCAAATATACCAAGTTCTAAAGTCTTCTTGTAATAATTGTTGGTAGTTGGTGGAGATCTCATCTCCACCGTAAGATTGAAAAGCCATCAACAGTTGTAATAAGAGGGACTATTGTATAAATAAGAGTGCCCTTTCCCTCATTTGTATGATCCAACACTTAGAGCAATACAATCCATTCTCTCCTAGAGCTTCTCTCCAAAACCTTCTTCTCTCCGGTAGAGTGAGCAATTGAGAACCTCCGATTGAGTGAGCAATTGAGAACCTCGTGACAAGTTTATGGGCAATGCTATCACGTGGAAATTAAATTGTTAACCTAAATGCACTCGTCAATATTGGATATATATATATATATATATATATATATATATATCTATCTCAGATGATGTCGAGTAGCTAAGTGCTAAGTACCTTAAGCCGAATATTTGGCCGTGCCCCATATGGTAATGCCGGGGGCAACCGTCAATGCCTATGGTACTTGATCTGGTCTCGCCCTCCGCACTTTTCTAGTCTACCCATAAAAAGGACTACTAGTGGTAATGGTGGATGTTTGGGCTCATGGTTTGAAGAAGTGAGTCAAACCCGTGGACTAATACACAATGCTTTAACTTCACAAACACTTCCCTCAGCAATTTCCAGGCCTATCCGTGGGTGCCTCCTAAGATTTGTGGCCCTTCCCAGTTTGTGCAACACATTACCAACGCTCTACTTAGGATGGAGAATATAGATGTAAGAAAATAACCATGACAATGTTTTGATTTTCTTTTCTTTTCTCTACAACCAGTCACCCCTCTTTAGATGAACAATGTCGAGCTTAAGATTTGCCTCCTCAAGCATTATACTTTGACCATAAGCCGCACTGATGTAAGGATTATGCTTGCCGCCCATATGTCGAGATCCGACTGATTTGAGCATAGTTGAGGATGACAACAAAACCTGGTGGAAACATTGTTTATATGCTGATATGTTCTCAGGTGCATAAACTTGTGAATTAGATTTCCAGATGTCCCTGCTAGTTTAGTCAAGTTGCATCCGAAACAATACTGATGAGGATGCACTAGGCAAAGTCTTTTAAGTACTCTTTGATGTCTCTACACTGCTAAATTACTGGCTATCATCGAATTGGAAGCTTTATTTACAGCAGATGAACCATATGGGCAAATTGCAAATTATATCATATAGGATGCCATGTCAAGGGTCTGCAGCATAACCTAGACTTAAACGAGCAAGTTCTATATGTTTCCTGTCTTAATTAGTTGGGAGATATAGTTTCTTCATTGTTGTGAAGAGACAAACTTCACTCGACATTAGTTGTAAAGTCACGTTAAATTAGTTTTGTTAAGGACTGCTTCTGTTTTTTTTTGTTGTCACAGGAATACTTCTATTGAATGGATCTCTATATGCCAGAAGAAAAAGGCTCAAAGTTCTTAGTCATAGTTTTGTTTTCATATGTCACTGCTCATCTGCCAACCCGAGTTGCACATACGATGTGTAGATAGAGTTAAAATATAGCTCTCATATGTTGGATGTTATACTAAAGCAGATATTACAATGAATGGAAAAGCAAAACCTGGATAGATAGAGGCTCAAATACACGTCATCGCTGTTGATAACGACAAAGGATTTTAACAAAAATTTGACTATATATGTTTGATCTATATCGCATGCAGCGCCAAGAAGATAGCCATTTCTGCAATTTCGAGTGTATTATTCCGTTTGGTATATAGATGGGGTTCTACTGTAGCCGAGTTGTTTCATCGCTACGCTATAAAGGTAACTTGTATAATTCTTACTGCATGTTTTAAAACTACAACAACTCTAAGAAAAAATGGAGCAATTAAAACTAATGTAAATTAGTGTAGTTATGGAGATGGGCTGCAGCCATGAGATGTTTGTGACACACCTTATGAAAACTCCAGTCCTTTTTCACAGCAAGGATTACTACGAAAACATTGTACCGATCATATGTAAGGATGAAATATGCACAATGTGTCCTTATTGCAAAATTTCTGTTAGAATTAGTTCTTCACATTGGCTAGGATGGTGCAGGTAATTCTAAGAATCCTATCTTTGACAAACCCTCCCTTTTACTATCATATGAATGTTGAGTATAGAAAAGAAGCTTTAAAAACCCTAACCAATCCAAGAAATGAGATTTTCATCATAATCTCACTGTTGAAAATAAAACATTGTAGGTGCATCGTTGAATTATAGAAACAAAGAGACTGTTCAATGATAGTATAGACATAGATATGGAAAACAGGCTATGGATCTTTATCTTTGAGAAGATAAATTTTCTCAAATAGTTAACATCTCGTCAACCAAACCAAGAATCCAAATTAAGCCACTTCACTAAGAACATCCAGACTTTATCAATATTTTTCCACATATTAATGCGAAAAATCGCGCACACGCCCACGCACACTCATGATAATCCTCTCTCTCTCTCTCTCTCTCTCTCTCTCTCTCTCTCTCTCTCTCTCTCTCTCTCTCTCTCTCCACTTGCTCTAATTCTGTAACCATTGAAACCACCATCATTGGCCGCTGAGACAACCATCACCACTCCCTCCCTCCCGCCCTCCCTGTGGTTGCTACAGATCGACAATGACCTCTGATCCATGGTCATTCATGCCTCTGATTAGTAGTTTTATTGAGCTAAGCCAGAGGTAACTGTGTCAATCTAGTTGAGTTAAATACAAGGTGAATCGGTGGAGAAATACACTGCGAGGTTCAAGAAACTGCAAAAGAGGTGTCAAACCAATCTAACCGATGAAGAATGAATTGTGATAGTTCAGAAGGGGCTAAATTTCGTTTTCCGAGTGAAATTGGAAGGGCAATACTTTTATGACATGTTCCTATAAGCCTTCTAAATTTGTCACAGCAGAAAACCCTTATATCGTGTGTTTCAATTCTTTGTTTGAGTTGAGATTTCTATCCTTACTTTCAGAAGCCATCGACCTTCAACCTTGGATGAAAGGTCGAAGTCCTCGATCTATGTTGACGACCTTAAGTAGAAGGCCTTCAACCCCTCATGTGGCGCTAATTGGCAATGTGTGTGTGTGTGTGTGTGCGTGTGTGTGTGTGTGTGTGTGTGAGAGAGAGAGAGAGAGAGAGAGAGAGAGAGAGAGAGAGAGAGAGAGAGAGAGATCGCGATTAGGCGGTGACGGCAGTTGTTGGAGGGGATGATGCTTCGGTGACCGAAGGTGGGTTTGGTGGTGATGCTGGCTCTCTTTTAGTGCACAATGGAAGGAGGAGGAAGAAGAGGAGGAGGAGGAGGAGGAGGAGGAGGAGTATCTCAACCCTTCAGATCATCAACAAATTTAGAGGTACCTCTTCGATATAAGAGGTAGATGATCCGCGAAAAAATCACTGTCGCAAGTTAAAAAAATATTTAATAAACGCACCCTTGCCAAACTCGAAGTATGAGCCACGAAAGAGCATTTCCAGCTGATAGCTTGGACATGAGGAACAGAAATATAAACAAAATATATTCCAGCTAATTCGAATGTGAGCAATATTAAGGATGCAAAGATGTCTACAGAGTTTCACGTACCAAATGATAAATCAAATTTTCCTTGTCTGAGTTTAGACAAATACCAGTCATGTACAAATCAATTCGCTTGATTAACTACCCAATAAAACTTAAACATCAGTTTAGTTAGCCAAACACGGTAAAAGATTCCTTGTCTCTAGCCTCTAGCATTCATGTTTGGGTAAACATTGTTTAGAACTTCAGAGCACCAGTTAAAATTCTCAATCCCAGAGATTCCTTCAGAAGATAAAACAAAGGTGGGAGAAGCAAGAAGGGAGAGACAAAGCAGGGGCATGCACAAGAAAGGAACAGTCTTGAATCAGAATGGGGACAAGATAGATCCTGGCATGGGTCAAAATGCATGCAGTTTCAGTCAAAGGAATGGAACAAAAAGATGAAAACTGGCATGCCTTCTATGTAAGAGAGAGAGAGAGAGAGAGAACGGTAATTGTGGCGGTTCCATGGAAGTGTTGTTGTAAATTTGCCCCGTAAAGGTGCTAGTTCAGTGAAGTGCACGTGTAGACCAGTTCATGTCATTACATAACCCTAGAGCTGAGAGAGAGAGAGAGAGAGAGAGATCTCTCTCTCTCCCCAAGAATATGGAACACCATGCGCAAATGCACATACCTCTCTCCTGAATTGCATGCCAGTCTCATTGAAACTGCAAAAGGCCACTTTAAATGAACTGCCTTGACCTTCTCAACTTATCTCAATTGAAGCAACAGTCGCACACTCACACATAAATTCATGAACTGTTTATCTATCCTATTATCACCCCATAATTAATGACCCCAGATGGGCCCCCTTCTATCCTCCTCGATGTTCTCAATATCATACGTGAAGTAACAAAAATGAAGAAAAGACCAACTGTGAAAATAATAAACCTTAAGGTCGAAGAAACTTGCATCTTTGTTTTCATTAAAATGTATGACCAAAAACACACACCCAATGTAGAATGGAGTGAAATTCAAACATCTAAATTTCTGGAGAAGAGCACTCTCTAATAACAAGGTTAAACCATCACGAGAGAAAAGACGTTTGGAACAAAAAATAAATTGTCGAATTGATCAGCAAACTCAGCAATACAAATTCTATCAAATCCAAGTTCCTCAGATCCTACAATTCAAGAGCAACATCAACGGAAGATTTCACAGAAGTCGCCTCACCACCCAATTTACACGGTTCTTCAAATCAAACACAATCATTCCTAGGCCTAGTCAGGAAGAATGAGAAATGAAATCAGCTAATCGATTGAAGAAGACAGAAAACCTAAAATTCATTCAAAGAAAAATAAAACCACAGATTACTTCCGCTAGTAGCTACAAAAGATCCGGCTATCTCCTAGCAAGCTTCAATAAGCTCATGAGAGAGAGAGAGAGAGAGAGAGAGAGAGAGAGAGAGAGAGAGAGAGAGAGAGAGATTAAAAATAAAAGAGAAAGGAACATAACTGAAATTTTTCGCTAGTAAGGCGGTCTAGCTCCAGACCAGTAAGCTTCGGATGGCATTTGTATCGAGTTGAGGAGATTTGGAGGCAACCCGTGAAATAGCCCCGCGTTGTTCGGATCTCCCAAGAGCTGTGGTGGCGGCTGCTGCTGCTGCTGTGGTGTCTGCCCTCCGACACCGCTGCCTGGGGATCCCATGCTCCCTCCTTGGACTTGAATTCCGGCATCATCCTCCTCCAGAGGCAGCCTCTCATACGCAGCATTGCTAAATGAGGCAGCCATGATCACGACGGGGCCCGAGGCGATGAGCGTCCCCACGACGCTCCCCCCAACCACCTGCCCTTGCCCGCCCGCCAAGTATATGGTCAGCCCCGAGGCAGCAGGTGGCGCGGGAGGTGGCAGGAACGACCCAGCTAGGGATAGGATTTCGAACCGGCCGTGCAGCGTCACGATCGCACCAGGTGAGGCCGGTTGCCTCAGGGTGACGTTGGTGACGGTCCCGCTCCCGCTCATTATGCACACCCCCCTCTGCCTCCGCCTCGCAAAGGTGGCGACGCTCTCGACGATGTCGCAGCCATCTGCGATCTCCATGACATGGGTGCGGAGCGCGTTGGCGCTGTCCCGGGTGATTATGATCGGGGGCTTTGGCTTGTTCTTGGATCCAGCCGGCCTCCCACGGGGCCTCCTTGTGATCTCTCCCTCTCCGCCTTGACCGCCACCCCCGAGCTCCTTGCCAAATTCACCGCCGTTAGGGTTCTTGTCACCGTTGTTGTCGTCGCGCTCCCGCTTTAGGGAGCCGCTGCCACCGCTCCTCTCATCCTCGGAGCTTGGCTGGTGGTGGAGGAACTGGTGCTGCTGCTGCTGGAGCTGGAAGTCTCTGGTGTGAAAGGGTGGCGGAAGAGAGTGGCCATGAGCAGAAGCTGGATCCATCAGCTCTTTGTCACATACACAAAATTAGGCAAATTTGCAGAGACAGAGACAGAGACAGAGACAGAGGAGGGTGTTTTCAAAGGAGAGGAAGATAGTGGAGAAGAAAGGGGGGGCGGGGGAGACAAAAGTAACAATAAGGAGACTTGGTTCTTGGGTGTTTTCTGCTCTATCTTTTTCGGGGGAGGGGGAGGCTTTCGCTTTCTCGCTGCCCTTTTCGATGGTTGCTCTTTTTCCTTACTATGTAATGATGGCCTTTGGGAAGAAAAAGGATGAAGGAGAAGGAGAAGAAGAGGAGGAGGAGGAGGATGAGATGGGTTTCGGCTGTCAATTGTAGCTGAAGTACGCTGCAGCTGAACTCTCCATTCTTGAGGTGTATCTGAGTTTCTTTTAGACAGAGAGAGGGTTTTTCTTATTTGGGTCGGAGAGAGATTGAGGAGAGAGAGAGACAGAGAGAGAGGGGTGAAGAAGAGGACATGAAGGACTTAGGTTGTCATGTTTTGTAAGTATTAGAGGAATGGAGGAGGGGTTAGAGTTTAAGGCTTTTAGGGCTCGCTCGATGAGGACGGTAGAAGAGAAGAGGCTCCAAGAACCCAAAGAAAAAAAATGGTGGGGGCCCCTTTGGTTTTGGTAAGACTCCGTGCTTGCGAGTGGGGCGGTGGGCGGTCCCCACCTCTCTCTCTCTCTCTCTCTCTCTCTCTCTCTCTCTCTCTCTCTCTCTCTCTCTATTTTGTCTCCTCCGGCACTCCACGTTCTCCCTCTCTCGTATTTAAATCGGTGGTATTGAGAAGAACTAAACTCAAAAAATTATGGAATTTTAGAGTCGAGTTAAACCTAGGTGTGAAATTTTGGGTATGTGTATTGAACTGAGTTTAATATGCTATTAACAATCTCGGACGGCTTACGACCCTAACTGATTAATCGCGTCGAATTTCCATACATTTCGACGCGAGATCGATTATGTTTTTTTGGTCTTTCATTATGATGCGATCCGTTCGAGCTCGAGTATGATCTGTGCTTGAACCCGCATTATTGCTTGTGTCATGGGTCGAGTAGATTGTGTAAGGGAATGCCTCTCTAGGTCTAGATTGAGTGTTTAAAAAATCAAGATCGATTAAGTTTGTTTGTCGATTGAACTCGGACTCTACTAAACCCCTTACGCGATTTTCGCTCTCGGTTCATTTTCGCTATTTTGCTTCACTCTTATCACGCCGTTGTTAATCCCTTTTAAGAGCTCAAACATCTAAAGAAAGTGAAGCCCCAAGATTTAAATGCAAGGCCCTATAACAGCAGAACGTTTGGAACGTAACGGCCACGTCATGTGTTGCCCGTGAAAATCGGCAAACTTTCAAACAATTTAAAATCGGAAAATTACCATTAATGTCGCGAGATGTGGTGACTTCATCAAATTAGGACATCAATGGCGAAAGTAATATTATCGTTCATCAAATTATATATGTGTTGAGCTTTAGTTTTTTTTTTTTTATCCGTCATACCTCTAATTCTCCTTACTCTCTGACTTTTGCTCTATTTCTTGTAAAATGCGGGAGTTAAATCTCACACATATGATACTAACGTCCCCACCCATCCTAATCCCTTTACCAGTAAAACTGCATGCCTATTGACATGTGTCGTTGTGCTTTAGTTAAGTGAGAGATTTTGCTGCCATTTTTGTTTTTACTTCTTTCCTGGTTTGGAAGATCATATTAAAGTGAAGCTGAAGAAAGCAAACACGCATAAAACGCATCAAATGGAAAAAATTTGCATGTTCTAAACCTAAATACTATGTAGAGTTCAATTTCATGAACAAAATGTCATGTCTATATTAATTTTTTTATACTGAGCTTTTTGTCAAACCATTGGCCAATAAACTAAGAACCGGAAAAAAGAATAGTAGCTGGCCCATCTCATTTATACTGGCGACTGCCAAAATCGCATCGTAGACACACACACACATTTATATTATATATATAAATGTAAATGTTTATTGAATGAGCAAGTTGCATCAATAAGTCTGCAACAGTAAATGTTAACGTCATGGTCCACATGCACCTGGGAGCGCGACACGTGTCTCCTCCCCCCCTTCTTACGGGTCGAGTCTCGTTGAACTTTTTATTTGGGGGTTGGCGTTCGATTTTTCTTTTTCTTTTTCTTTTTCATTCATTTTATCAGGCATTGGTACCCTACTGATTTAGGGTTTTCTTTCTTTTCCTTGTTTTTTGGTCTTTCCAGCATCAAACGCATCGCTCGTACGAAGATCTTCTTCGACGAGGAACAGAAAGAGAAACTTAACGTTTTTTAAAAGTATAGTGGGTACGAGCCCACAAGCACATAAATTGCGAATTTGAAGGGAATTGACGGAAAAAAACTAATAAGAATGCTCCAAATATAGCTATGCTACAGTATTAGGGATCTTTCCTTTTCTGACTAAACATTATATTCAAAACATATACATATCTCATTTATGGATAGATAAGACCCCAATAGAGTTGGTCCCATATGCAATTTGTGCACGAATATATGTCCGTGAAGAACCTATTTTTCCTATGTAGTGGACCGACCTCTGGCCTTGGTACTAAATATTCTTGTTCTAGTTGCAAAACCTTGGGAAGTAAATATATTATGGTTCAAGAACGAAGTACTTGGCGACCTTGTCCTGGATCATACAGATTGGACCGCATTGGTCGGGGTTTACTGCACAAACAAGTACCTCGTGACATTCGTGAGCTGGGTGACGAAGAAATTCAGGTTCGAAAAACACTCGACAGTCACACACCGGCTTATATCCTGTGTAATTCAGCATGTGCTTAAGGACGCGAGTGCTGTAAAAGCGACTTAGCTGCTGTCAAAATGTAACTCTCAGCGAATGTGTTTCTATCGCAAGATGGATGCGTAATGCCAAGGCTTCAAAGGCCGCAGGGTTTGACCGGCACCATTCACTCAGCGAGTCACTCCACGGTGTTTGGGGGGGAGGCGTGGGAGGCGCTGACACCGGCACGCACACGCACGAAAGGGAAGACGAAAGGGAGGGCCACGAGCTCTCCTCTTCCCTCCTTCCCCCTTCCCTCTTTCCCAAAGATGCTCTTTGTCCCCCTCCATTTTCCCATATCTCATTGGTTCTCGGATATTATACTCTTGGAAATAGATAATGAATTCTTTTATATCACCCAAAACCTAATGGTCAATCAATGTATGATATGAGCCTCTATTTTCCTGCTGTTCTCTAACCCTAGTTTATATGCTCCGGCTATTTGAACCAAAACAAGAGAGAAAGATTTGCAAAATCTAGATAGACGGAGAGCACGAAATGAGGATATCAGCAGTGGTTTTTTTCTTTCGATAGACAGTTTGCCCTTAAAAATTCAAAGAACATACACCAGATACATTGGAAATAACAACCGAGAGGTGGCAGCTTAAGTCGTATAATCAAATCCAAACACCGAAAAGCTGATAAACGACAAAACCCCAATGAAGCCCCCACCATGTGTGGATAAGAATCATTTAAGACCAGGTCAAGCCTTCCACCTCGGAGCATCATCGATCCATGTTGGCTGGTGTTGTTGTTGGTGTTGCTGCGGCTGCTGCTGCCTTTTTTTCATTTGCTTTCTTTTTCTTTCCTCCAACTCCAAGAATAATGATCGTCCATTTTCTCTCTGGCCCACCTTTTAGGGTTTGTCTTTCTTGTGCCTTCTCTGCAGGTTTAGCTATCCGGATAACGTTATCATTTTGCTCAAAAATTCGCAGTCTCAACCAAACCCCTCCCCATAGGATTTATACACACAGGCACATCTTTCCTGAAAATGTGTATCCATCGTCTAAGCATATGTTTCTTCAATTAGTCGGTTACTGGAGTGAAGTAATTCCTTTTCGCCGCTTTGTTAAGAGCGTCTGGGACAAGTAAAACGAGGGCAAATTTCTAGTTTTCTTGGGAAGAAATCTCTCGACTCTTTAAGACGGAAATATTGATTATGCGGACAAATGATGTAGGGTCGCTTCTTTCAACCCTCGCTACTTGAAAGCGCGGCTATTTCTTTGGAAAAATGATGAAAGGTTGATTAATTTTCACATGCTGTCGTATGTCTCCATCGCTAGATATAGCATGAATAAAGACGAGTTCTACCATGCTTTGAACAGAAGAACTTAGAAAAGCGGGAGATCTGAATAAATAAATATATAGCCACGACAAACAAGTAGTCAATACACGATTGATTCAATCCTAAACCTCCCATGACAAAGTCCTCTCTTGTCTTGTCTTTTCTTCCGTCCCAATCTTTGATTTTTTTTTTTATCAAATTTAGCTGCATCCATGCATTTAATTGTATTGGCGACCTAATAAAAGAATCTAAAGTTGAATCCAAAACCAAATCCAAACTCAAATCAATTCTTGTCACAAGAGCAAACACGAGGGCACTTGAAAACAAAACTCAATACGACCATCATGATATTTGATCGATCGTCGCTTCCCAAAAGAAAGTGGACCTCCTGCCATAACTATGGTCATTAATTTTGCATTTTTCTTGCCTCCTCCTAAAAGAAAGTAGACATTATAGATAGTACCGCATTCACATGTCATGATTAGCACACAATATCCGAAAACACGGACAATGGACACGGGCGATTGCTGCTACTGTTTGACTTCAAGTTTATATATATTTTGTTCGCAATTATGGTTAGGTGGTGATGAGTGCATCAATAGTCCAAGGAAATTTCGTTGAAGGTCGGAGGTGGGCCATTTCAAATTAGGGCACGACCAATCATGCATGGATCCCTACAATGTCTCTTTTGAAAGTACAAAAAGTCTGAATAATTAAGCCTTTTCGTGAGAGCGAAGTTCGTGAAAGTGATCAGTCCTCCAAAAGTCACCCAAAAGTCCAATTTGGCTTTTCACAGGATTGACATTGCAGGATTAGTTCAGCTTCTGGTGATAGAATTACTAAGTAGGTCAATAATTATCATCATGTAGAGGGAATAGAAAAAAAAAAAACTCCGGCTTGATTTTGTTATCTACTTCAATTGCGGTCATCTTTTCTGAGACACTTTTCTGGGTGAGTAATTATGTAGATTTATAAACAAATTATGAACGAATGAAAGCACAAAATAATTAAACAATCTGCTTCACTTTGGTGAAGCCCAGTTGCTTGCAAAGTAGACCTAACAACCTTGAGTTTAGGCGATTGCAACGTGTTTATGTCAGCAGTGGAAGCCCTAGCTCAAGAATTTATCTTATGGCAATTCAGTATAGTAAGAGAAAGCCTACCCAAATAGGTAACAGATGAAGATTTTACCTTGTTGATTGTAAATACTAAAGTTACATTAAGGTATTCTCATATCACTTATCTGTTGGGTCTCAATGGGCTTGAAATTCATATAATCTCCCTCCATCTCACAATATAAGTTTCTAGACTAAACTTTTCTCACATGCTATACTAGATTTGGTATCGACTGCTGCCTTGTAGTCTTGCT